GTTTTTTAAAGAAGTAACGAGAAAATATTTAAAGTTGAAAACAATTTTTCACTACTTTTACTATCCTTTTAAAATCAGAAAATGTGAATACATTTCGAAAATATTAAAATGTTAGAAATCTGCTCTAATAAAAAGTTTCAAAACATTAAAAGTCTAACCTTTAGCGTTGTTCTTTACACTGCACTCACTTTGAACTAAAAAATAACCATCCGTTCAAAATATTCTTACCAGTAGCTATAAAATATCATTTCGAAAATGATGGGTTTGATGTGTCATATGAAGAGACTGTTGAAATTCTTTCTACTTCAAGCCCATCTGCTAGCCCAGTATCATATATCAATCCTTCCGTCACATCGAGAAAATTCTGTAGGCATACTTCACTGTCGTTTTTTTGCGTTTCTCGTCTTTTTGGATGATCCTGGTGCTCGACGTTCAACGGTAACCACGTGCTTACCGTCTGAACTGTACACAAACATTTTTTGCTTGTCGACCTGCAGTTACTACCAGCAGGTTCATAACTTATGACAAACGATACATAGCCATCGTTGAACGTGTAAGTATCCAAAAATGCTACAGTTTCTACCGTTTCAACTCTATAATAAAGATGATTCACAGCTAGCGCTTGCAAACGCACGTTAAAACTTTCATTCTTATTATTTTAGCATTTCTTGGAACTGGTGATTAACGAAATGCGACCAATTATGACTAATAATAAACTTAGGCTAACTCTTCTATGGTCCTCAGTTTATCGTTTGAAATATTAGGCAATAAAAAGTAGGAATAGTCTAGTAACTCAGTAACTAGTAGTAGTACTAAGACATTAAATTAATAAATTAATCAAGTAAATTACGAGTTTCATTAATAATAGTATAATGAATGTAGCTCAGAAAATGACAACGCGGTAGAGTTAAAAATAGCTCGAAAAATGCAGCAGAGTTAAAGTTTAAAAAGGCAAAGGTATAAAATCCTGTTACGTGCAATTATTTTTTCCAAACCTGTTCTATTTATCGCTTACAACTTTGGTAGTATCCTGAAATCCCCAAAACATTTTTAACCATATGTTCCAAATGAATGAAAATGTTAAAAATTCAATGAAATTTTGATTTGTTGAAACCTTTGAATCGGAGTCTTCTTATGTGGAATATGTCAGTCCTGCGAAAACGGACTCTTATTTACCAAAGAAAAAACATCCGGATGTTTGTGTGAATTTTCATCAATGAGGAGCGACAACTCTGGATAAACACCTCCTGTGGTACGTGTCGAGGAGTTTTCACGTTCATTGGCGTAACATTTATGTTCTCCCATCTGGCAAAGAGGCTATCTTTGTAACGAGCTGTTACTTGCACCCTTCTGTGTTCTTAGAAGGTGCTTCAGAAAGCACATTATGGCCAGACTATAATTACAAAATATTATCAGTTGATCAGAAAGATTATTTTCAGTTGCTATAAGTCTATACTTGAGAGCCTAACTCAAGTTCTTTTTATTATTATTATTGTTATATATAAATAAAGCATTGTAGTTAAAATTTATATGATGAAATAAAGAAACATTAACTTCTTGCTTCTGTAACACTGTATTAATGATAAGAAACTAAATCTTTGATCTATTCGTTGCCTATGGCTTTACGTTAAAATAGTTCCTTAAAAGTATAACACATCTACATTAACGAGTAAAGAATTGTGGTCACTTTGTGTAAACATAGATTTCAATGTATATAACACATACGAATTATTTTTTAATAAGTAATTATAAAATAAATTTTTTTTTAAATTCATACTAATATTCAAATTAATTAAGCTCTTCCTAATCGATGCTTTACTCTTAGAATTCCATTAATTATTGTCACCATAGTATTTTACTTTGGAAAGTCAGCTATAACTCCTTTTATTCGTCTATTTTTACATATTTCTGTAATACACTGCCTTTAAGTAGAAAATGTGTCAGTATTGTTAGGATGTCCCAATAACAAGTAATTATTTCTGTAATCGTTTATTTCATTCAAATATTTATGCATTTATTTAATTCGTATGTTTCACGCCATTAAATATTTCACTTGTTTAATTCCTACTTTCTTCAACATTGACTTTTTA